AGATTGTAGACCCTGTAACTAGATTTTTCTGTCCTCTTGGGCTATTTACTTAATCTCATTAAACATCATAGAATCTTATCATTACACATTTGGAAAGAGCCTTAAAAGTAATTTTTGTTATACTCTGCATAAGTCAACTTTCAGAATAACTGACAACTGGTTATTTAACTACTCTTCCAAAAGATGTAAATAAAAAATCGCATTGTCTGAAAAATAGCACATACTTGTTTCCAACAATTAGAATTCTGAAGCAGATAGAAATATGTTCTTAATGTTGGGCAAAATATTTCCATCCTTGTGACTTTTGTTCCTCATCTTATGGCTGTCTCTGGGGCTATAGAGAGTAAATGTAATTTCTCCTCTACTTGAAAGTACTTTAAGAATTTGGCTGTGCTGTCATATCTCAAAGTGATTTCTGTGATTATGTGTAGTGGCAGCAATGAAGGAGGTGAAGAACTCAGATACAAACCTTGCAAAGTAAGCTCTTCTCTAGAAGGCAGAATTGTCACCCCCCCCTTGACATGGATGTCACCACTGCATCAGGGAAAGGGAGTCACTGCTTAGGCCAAGTTTTTATGAGTTCCCACATGTGTGCCCGGGAAGGCTTCCCTAGAGGGAGAGGTTTGCATATTGCTAACTTCTCCCTTCCTTCTAGGTGAGATGGTCCACCTCCCACTTCCCCTTCAGTAAGCTATGTGAGTCTTCCATCTCATGCAAAATTGATGACCAAGCCCAAAATCCTGCTACAATTTGTTTCCCAACTCCAAGAGACTGCAGATGCTATTAGTAGGCTATGAGGACCCCAGAATCCAGCTCAGGAAGACTACACTTCCTCTGCAGAGGTAAAGTGCTCTTAGGGGAAAGCCAACCTCCTCCACTCTGGCTGTGCTCCTCCCTGAAGCCTGAGCAAGGAAACTGACCAGAGGACGTTGGTCTCAGAGAGTCTGAGCAGTAGTCAGGCTTCAAGATCTGTCCATTCCTTGGGACACAGTCATGCCAATGAAAAAAACTCAAATGAGCTGAACTGTCATTAGAGCTACCAATCCCATTTAGATTTGTATCTGGTGTCCCACCTAATTATAAAGCTTTCTGAGTGTGTTATTCATCATAATTGCATTTACTCCACATCTATTGAGTGAGTACCAGCCCATGTGCTGGGGACTAATAGGAGAAAACTCTTTGTCCCAATTTCTCCAATTTGTCTTGAAGCCTTTTGTCTTTTATTCATTAATAATCTTTGTCTAAAATCCCTCTGTAATTTGGGGTCTCTGCCTCCTTCATTTTTTGATGCTGAACAATGTCCTCATTCTTGTCACATTAGCAAATGAGAAAACCAGGAATAACTCCACCCCCTTCTTCCCCTCCCCTTTCAATTTGCCATCACCTTCTATCAATCTTACTTGGCAAAGATTTCTGAAGTCTAAGTCCCTCCTTCCCCTGCTCCATACCACTGCCTGAGGTAGCAGTATTATACTTCTCAGCTTTCCAGCTTTTCCTATCACCACTTCCCATCCTGGTTAATATCTAAAACTTCTGAGTGGTTTCTAACTCCACACCCTCCCCATGTTTCCTGTTCTCTCTATTTCCTTCCTTCCTGCTTTGTCTGCCTTATTCCTATCCATTATGAAATCTTAGCCCAGGAATATCATGCAAGATTTCTTTTGAAAGAAGTTGAGTATCTCTTCTCTGAAATATTTGCAACCAGAGTTTGGGAGATTTTGAAACATTTGGACTTTGAAATACTTGCATACGCACTACATAAAGAGCTGTGTTGAGAGCAGGACCTATGTCTAAATACAGATTTCTTTATATTTTTGGACAGACAGTCTGAAAATAAGCTTTTACAGTGCATTTCTTAGTGTGCTTGTCTCCTGACCATGACCCCATCACATGAGGTCAGGTGTGGAATTTTCCATTTCTGATCTCATAGCGGTGCTCAAAAGTTTTGAATTTTGGAGCATTTCCAACTTTGGGTTTCAAGTTGGTGATGCTCAAACCAGTCCTCCTTTCTCCATTGCTCCCTTTGCCACCAGATTTGGTCATTACCCCTTTCATGTGCCCCAAGAGAGTTTGAGCATCTTTATTAATGAATGGTGCATTTATTCTTTCACAGTGAATTGTGATCTCCTTAAAAGCAGGAGCAACTCTGTGGTATTCATCCTTATTTCCTAGGTTTTTCTTTCTGTCCTGGATATAACTGGTCCTTAGCCAATGTTATTCGTGTCAATCAATGATGAAATCAACTTCAGGGTGCCCATGAGTTGAGGCCCCACACCCAAGAGGGGTGTGCAAAGAGAAATGTCAACAGAATGATCCATCCTTGGCCTCCTATAGTAATTCTCCCTCAGATGACAATGACATGTGTTATTGAAAACCACTCCTTTCATTAACAGTTATATTTCTTCAATAAGAACAATTAGGATAACTCTTATTTCCAGTTTGTGCAACTGGAAATAGCTCCCAGGGAAACACATGAATTTTGTGATTTCAGAGACAGAGGCGAGTTACCTCATCTCCTGTTATAGCTGGTCAATTCTGCGTTGCATCAGGGCCCCAGCAGAACTCTGACAACAGAGACTTGGCAGAGACTGGCGGTGCTTTCCTTCTGCTTTGTTTATCGTAATGAACTGGTCAATAAACATCACAAATTGTTTATCTATATAAATCTTGACAGATTACTCTTTATGAAATCCATTTAGCAAGTGAGGTTTTCCCATAAGGATGAAAAATGAAGATTTTAAACAGATTGCCGGAGAAGCTCTGGCTGTGCCAGGAGAGTCGGTGTAATAAAGGTTTCTTTATATTAATATTACAAAAACCATTTATCCTGGCAAAATCAATATCACAATTCATCTTAGTTTGGTGTTTCTCTTTCTAAGCTTAAAATGTCTTTTCTTTTATTACATATAATTTTGTTTTAATAAACGTGAGATATATTTCATTTAGGAGGTACCCTGGAGGAGAGATAACTTATAAACTGACATCAAACTTGTGCTTCATTTGCTAAAGAGGTTTGGAAATATTCGAAATTATATTTGAGTGGCTGAAAACTTTAAAGGAATCATTTTACTTAAACCTTAATTACAAAATCAGCCCCATGTCCTTTGGGCTAGAAACAAACTATAATATTCAGAAAAGTCTCCTCCAATGAATTGTGTTTAGAGAAAGTTCTCTTACTGATATCAAGCAATTATAAAAGTCAGATACGTTCAATATAACACTGGCTGGAAGACAAGACTACAAAGTCAGGAATAGACACAATTTAATTACTCGAACATTGCATGCTTGCCTATGGAGTGATATATTTATTCCATTTGGATTTGGAACTTAATATCCCATGGATATTGACATAGCTGACTCGGAATTATGTGTGTGGCAGTTGGTTGGAGGAAAATAGAAGTACATCAAGCAAAGGAATTATCTTATACACTGGAAACTATTATTCTAAATGCACTGTATGCAAAATAAGTGTGATTGTCTCATGAGGGAATGGTAATAAAAACCAAAATACTGAAGAGACGTTTATCTATGAGTGGTGTACTGATTTATAAGTACATATACACATATATATGCACATTGAGAGAAGCTTTCTTCTTATTGTTTATGCTCACCAATATTACATTAAAAGCCTACAAACAATATACTCTGATAGCATATAATGAAATTAAGAGCCAACTATTTCATTGCTGCCATAATTTCATTTTAATTTCACTGCATAATTTTCTTCAGCTGTAGTACTTACCTGGAACAAAACATCTATTTAAAGTGGAATTCTGATAGAATGCATACAGATAAAAGACCTAATATAGTTGTTTGTAAGGGGGGGGAATGTCTTTTCATCATGACCATAAAAAGGTCTAACAACAGCATGATGGTTTTCAGGAGAAACTGTACTTTCTCTATTCCCGAGGGGATATTAGTCCATAAAACAAATTTGCAGCTTATTTGGCAGCCTTGGCTTTTATCAGCCTTTTGAAGGATGTTCAATGATTACCCAGGAGATCACACTGTAGAAGCTGCAGAGGGAGAAAGTCACTTCTCCATCAGCATCTTTCTTGGAATGTATAGGAGAATCCCTCTAGGGCTGCTTTAAGAATGCCATGTGAAGGGTTCCTGTGTAAATGTTCCTCTTTGGCTGCTTTTGCATCTCTTATACTTCATGGTACCCAAAGTGCTGATCCTAACCAATGCCATGGGTCTAGGGCTAAATGTATGAGCAATTCACGCTAAAGAAATTGGTTTGAATTTCTGTCATGGGGAAGGGCCACTACTCTTACTCTTACACATGACTTTGGTTCCGATAAACCTACGCTGTAGTGAAGTTACCTCATTCTCTTTAGATCACTAACAGTTTTGCCCACATCAGAATAATACTTTCAACTCCAGCCACTCTGGAGAAATGTCCAACTGTTCTGGATAGCAATGTATAAAATAAAAAATAAAGTATAATACCTGTTACAACATCAACAACGCTAGAACCTGACTTCCTAAAGTGTTAACAAAATTTAGTTTTTAGAAAGCCAGTGTAGAAGTTCAAGCTTCTTCAGAAAAGCAATGATTGAATCACCCCAGTCTTCCTCTTTGCAACTGGAGTGTTACTTGCAAATATAATTGTATGGGTAATGTAATCTCAACGTTCAGCTGACAGTGGAACTGCTATTGTAAGACAGCCAGATTCACAGTATTATTAATTGAGCAACTGATATTCCAACTGACCCAGAAGATGTATAAAGACATGTAAAACATATAAAAACAACACTTTGGGGGGACCTTCAGTTAGCTTTCCAAGGGAAGGCTTGATGCGTTTTTATCATGAGCAGCATTTGATAAATAGCGCTTCTATTTTGTTTTATTTCAAGTGTGTTTCGCTCCAGCATTCTTTTCAGTCTGCTGGCTAAAACAGCATTCTACTCCACAATGTTATTGGTAGGTGTAATGTATACTATGCATTATTAATCAAAATGCTATTCTCTTTGATGGTTTATTTGTCTTGTTTTCAGATGTCAGCCTTGTAATTGTCATCTCTCAGGAGCCTTGAATGAAACCTGTCACTTGGTCACGGGCCAGTGTTTCTGTAAACAATTTGTCACGGGGACAAAGTGTGAGGCTTGTGTTCCCGGTGCAAGCCACTTGGATGCCCACAACCCGTGGGGCTGCAGCAAAAGTAAGTGAACTCTGGTGCACTGCCAGAGTGGGGGGCCCCGGGCCCCGGCAGAATTTCTTGCTCCAGTTAGAATCCGTGTGCAAGGCTTAGCTACCCTATGAGGAATTTGGTTTAAAAACTTTTTAAAATTACACTATCTGAAATGTGTGTGCCTTTTTTTGATTAAGTAATTGGAAATGGTGAAATCATTATGTTTGTAGCAGGCAATTTATAATGGTTTGTTGGAATTAAATTACTAGATTAATGACCAAATCCTAGTTTTCCCCAGACTAAGGGATTTCTCAGGACAGAAGACTTTCAAGGCCAAAATCAGGGCAGCTGAGGTTACACCAAACTGGTTGACCACCTTACCACACAAAACCACTCATTTCTACATAATTTTCTTTAGCAAGTAGCAGTTATAGTCTTATTTATTATGAGTTTTATAGTCTTCATTCCCCAGAATTTTATGCACACTATTCTACTATTAGTTGTTTATTGATATTGAAATAATTATCCTTATCTATTCCTTACTTTCTCCTCTGTTACATTAGTTGTTTAAATATCACATTTACATTTTTAATTCCTCAAAGCTAAACATTACATTTCAGTGTCTTCTGACTTCTCAGTACTATTTTCCAATGACGTCTGTTGACCTCTCAAGGTCACCTGCTGTCTTCCTGGTGACTTCGTAACATATTGATGCTTACTGTGTTTACTTCAAGATCATATGTCCTTACCTTTTCCAGAATCCCTAAGAAATTCCTGCTGGGAACATGTGGTAAGGAGCCTTCTACAACATATTGTGCGACTCATATTCTCCTTGGGGTGTCCTGAGACTGTCATGAGTCAACGCCAGGCAGTGCCACAATCATGACAGGTCCCCACCGGCCAGCATGCCCGGGTGTGCTATCTACATTTGAGGGAAAGGGAAAGAAGGAATAGAATATTGGCCCCCGAAGCAAGCTTACTAGATTTTGAAGAAGTGGAAGGCGGGGAAGGTATAGCTACAGATTCAGCAGACATAGTGATCTTTTGTTCCTGGGTAGCTGCTTTTCAGTATCTTGTATTTCAATATCCTGTATTTTCAGTATCCTATAAAATCATCTAGGTTTTAGTAAAGGTAATTTTTGTTTCCTTTGGGAAAGGAGTCTCATAACTGGCTTTGTATATAAATGCAGTCAGAACACAAATCTGGATTTTAGTAATTCCTATTCACTAATGAACTATGTATTTGATTTCTTTGTGTGAGGTATAAATTCCAGCATATTCCTTTTGGTTGTGAGTTGTAGCTCATCATTTATATGCAACAATGGCAGCCTTACCTAAAACATGCATAAATAGTGATTTCCACTTGGCTCTGCCACTGATTTTGTGTGAAACTATGCGTACTTGTTTCTCTTTTCAGTGCATCTTCTTACCTAGCCTGGAGGTGGTTGAAGGCTGGGTCCAGAAGCTGTGCCTCCATCTCTTGGTACCAGTTGAGGCTTATTTTATCTTGTCTTTCCTTCTCTGAGAGGAACATTCCTAGTCATTCCATGTGTTTTTGGTTTGTCATAATTCTAAAAACTTTTACATTCATAATTTTTTGTTCCTGGATAGATTACTCTCGATTTTTCTGTCCCTTTAAAATTGTGATCCTTGGCAATGAACTGGTTCCCTCAGCTATGTGGTTGTTACTGCTCCTGTGTTAGGTTTATGTTTCACAAAACTGACAAAACAGTGTAAAGGCAGAAGCTCTGCAGCAGTGGCAACTCATTAAAGGACAATGTGACAGGGTCCCCACCTTCGGGGGAGATCAGAGCATAGTGCGGGTAGTAGAAGGGGAGCAGGGAGGCGCTGGCTGTGGGCAGAGTGTGAAGAAACGCCCCTTCGTCTTCACTGGTTTCACCTGGATTGTCAAGGTACTTTCTTTTCACTGTAGCAACTGCAGAGGTGAATACCCTGCCTCGTGAGATGGGAGGAGGGTGAGAGGAGTGCAGTGTTACCTGTTGTTGATCCATGAACCACCTCGGTCTGGTTCTTGTTTCTCTGTCCACCAGCTGTCCAAAATACACTTTTCTTGAACATTTAAAGAATCCTCAACGCTCCTTTTCTAGTTTGGGAACTGTGGGATTACAACTATTGTTGTATTTTCTCTTTTTCTAGGTGCCATCTGTGACTTTTTTTTTTTATTGGGCAGGAAGTCAGAGTAGGATGTAGAATATAATTTCCAAAGTGCAGAAGCATTGAATTTAAATAAAGTAGTTAGAGCCTCTCTGACCATACACTTCCCTATCGGGTGAGCCACTTCTTTTCTACCAGTATTTGTTTCATGCTTTCAATATGATAGTTGTTTTCCATGAAAAGAGAGATAGAAGCAAGGCAGGAGTTAAATAGTTCTGTTTTTGCATATTTTCCTAGTGATATTTCATTTTGTCCTAAGCTTTTGTCAATGAACTTTGTTTATGTTTGTGCATGTATGTATGTAAATATATATGGATAGACATAGACACATATGTGCACAGACATCCTTGTAGCCATTCATAATACCTTTCTTTAGTCTCCTAGATACTTCTCTCATTTTTATGTTTTTCTTTAGTTTATTCACATTTTTTTCTTTACCTGCTTATCAGAGAGCTTCTGGTAGTTCTATCGATAGCTTTTTGGAAGGAGAATTTATAGAAGTTTGACCATTTTACACGAACAGTTTGATGAATCTTGGTAACTTTGAGATTGTGGAAACACGATTACAATACAGCTGTAGAATGTTTCTGTCATTCAAAAACAATTCCCTGTGCTCACTATCAATGAATCTCCTCTTCTTCTAGCCCGAAGCAGCAACGTATATGGGTTTTGATTGAATAATTTTGCTTTCCTGGAAATTTTGGATAAGTGAATCCGTATAATGGTTAGGCTTTTCATAATATTTAGGTTTTTTGTATGTAGCTTCTTTTTCTTAGTAAAATGTTTTTGAGATTCATCCATATTATTGCACGTCTCAGTAGCTTGTCCCTTTTATTGCTGAGCAGGGTAGCGCTTTATGGGTAGGCATTGTTTTGTTTGTCTGTTAGTGAGTTAATATGTAGATTCTTCCTGGTGTTTCTCATGAATTGTCCTTCCACGGACGTATGGTTACAAATGTCTCTATGGATCCATGTTTTTCTTTCCTTCCTTTCTTCCTACTCTATGTATCTATCTATCTATCTATCTATCTATCTATCTATCTATTTATCATCTATGTAAGTATGTATGTATGTATGTATCTATCTCTCTATCATCTATCAATTATCTATCTATCTATCTATCTATCTATCTATCTACCTACCTATCTATCATGTAGTACTGAGAATGAACACAGGGCATTCACAATGAGCTATATGCCCAGCCCTAATTTTATCAAAAAATTTTATCTTGAGATAAGGTCTTGCTAAGTCTCTAAGATGTCTAGTCTGGGCTCAATTTTACAACCTTTCTGCCTCAGCTTCCCAGAGTAGAGGGATGGGAGTACATTATGTGCCACTGTGCCTGACTTAGCCTTATATATTTTAAACTCTTAGGTATGCCTGGTAATAAGAAGGCTGATTTTATGATAGGTATATTCATATGTTTTTAAGAAATTGCCAATTTCTTCCCATTGTGGCTGAACCACTTTACATTTTCAGCAGCAAACTGTGGGCCAGTGAGTTTCCCTCCCACCTCAGCAACCTCTGGCATGGATGCACTTCATCTCAGCCAGTGCACATGCAGTGGCTTCAGTGTGCACTTTCCCAGTGACGGTGTTACCGAGTACTGCTCATGTGGATTATTTGCCATTTGAGCATTTCCTGTGGCAGTGTCTTTCCAGAACTTTGCCTGTGTTTTATGAGTTGTGTCTTCTTGTTGACTTAATGATTTCTTTACATACTTAAGATAAAACTTACGTCAACCTTTTCTTTGATTTTTTCATGGTATGTTTTGAAGAATAAAACTGTCCTATTATTCCATCATTTTTAAAATTTAATCTAAGAAATACTTGTTTGACCCATATAACAAAGATTTTCTCAGTGTTTTCATCTTAAAGTTTTGCATATTTAACTTTAGCATTTGGGTTTGTAAAAAATTGTGAATTAATTTTATACACCTAAAAACAAGAGGTCAGCACCTAGTTATTTTATTTTTATTTTGGGGAACATGAGTAACCAACTGTTATTATAATAGTTATTGAAATGACTATCATTTACCTACAGAATTATCTGAGCATTTATGCCAAAAAATTAACCCATTAGCCAATACCATATTCAGTGGTGAAAGACTGGAAGTTTCTCCCTCTGATCAGGCACCATGCAAGAATGTTCTCTGTTGTGACTACCATTCAACATTGTAATGCATGTGGCAGCCAGAACAATCAGACAAGAAAAGAAGTAAAAGGCATCCAAACTGAAAAGGAAACTACATCTATTTGCAGATAATATGATCGTATTCACTGAAAATGCAAAAGAATCCATGAGAAAGCTTTTAAAATTAATGAATTCAGCAGAACAGCATGTTGAAAATCAGTATGCAACACAGTTGTGTTTTTATAAACAAGCAATGAATAATCTGAAAAAGAAATGTAAAAAGCAATTCCACTTACAATGTATGAAAAATTTAACCACCAATGAAAGACTCATGCTGCAGACTACAAAACGCTGCTAAAACAAATTCAGTAAGGTAAAATTAATGGAAAGACACTCCATGTTTATGAATTAGAAGGCTTCATATCACTAAAATAGCAATAGCATCCAAAGCAATCTGCAGACTCAATATAATCCCTATCAGCATCCCATCCTAAAATTCAAGTGGAATCGTAAGAACTCCCAGGGGCCAAAACAACCCTGAAAAAGAAGATAGTTGGAGAATTCAAACTTCCTGGCTTCAAAAATAACTGTAAAGCTCCGGTAATCAAAACAATATGGTACTCCATAGACTAACACACCAGTGAAACAGAGATTTCATAAATTGGGATGCACAAAGGCTGATTGATAAATGTGGTTGATGTTCAAATTTTAAAAAGCTTATTA